AGGAGGTCGTGCAAGACATTGGTGCGATGTGGGTTTGAGTTGGACGAGCGCGCTGGTGCCGAGAGTGTGCTTTGCAAATGCTTGCCCATTCTTGCCACGCGAGAACAGAATTTGGAGCATCGTCAGTCCTTGAACCGTGGCGAGCCAGTCAGCGTTCGCCGGTCGATCCTTCTAGCCGACACAGCGCCGTCTCATGCGCGTGCTTCTATAGCTAGGCAGACGTTGGCAAGTGTAGATCATGCCCCTCCCTTACCCCCTGCCTGTAGGCTCGTGCTTCCGCGGCGCGGAGGACGAGGTCTTCCGAGTCGAGCGCGCCGGCGGATTTGAGCGCCGCCGCCGGCGGCGGCGCGGCCGGGCGACCGTGACGCGCAGCTCCGAGTCCGCTTCACGACGCCGGTCGACGAAGACTAACATCACGCCGGCGGCGGGGCGCATACCTTAAGAATCGGGGAGCTTCACCACCACGGTCCCGGCGGGCTTGCCGTTGACGGTCGCCGCGAGCGCGTGGACGACGGGGAAGCGGCGGAGGTCCGCGGTTGCGGCGAGGCCTATGACGTCGCCGGCCTCGACGAGGACCGGCTCGTCGAGGAGGCAGAGCACGGACCGCCATGACGTCGCCTCGGTCCAGCAGTCGATGGCGTCCTCGCCGTCGAGGACGATTTTGGGAGCGCAGAAGAAGCCCGTGAGCGTCGACGGCGCGGCCACGGTCCAGGCGTGCTCGCGCGTCTGCTCCAGCCGGAGGTCGTTGGCGTCGATGCACTCCAGGAGCCGCCGGTCGCCGAGGAGCGTCGCGGGCGGCGGCACCATGGGCAGGCGCACGTCGGACGAGCCGCCGTCGCCCGACGCCGGCAGCCGCAAATTCGCCGGCGCGACCCAGGTCTCGGCCCGCGCGGGCACGGACCAGGCGCCGGTCTTCGCGACCAAAGTCGCCGGGAGCTGCGCGAGCGTCGCCGCCATGCCCTCCTCGGACGCCAAATCCCCGACGATCTCGCTGACGACGACGTCGGCGGGGCCCCCCAATACCGAGACGACGGTCGCCGCGACCTCGGACGAGTGGCCCGTGACGACCGTGACGACGTGTGACACGCCCGCGGCGTCGACGGCCGCGCGCGCGCGGTCCGCCGCCGCCGGGCTCACCTCGCACGCGACGACGGCCGCGGCGCCGGCCTTCGCCGCGGCGACGGCGAGCAGCGCCTCCGGGCCCGTGCCGACGTCGAGCACGCGCTTCCCGGGCGCCGCGCGGGCGATGGCGCGCAGGTAGGCGCCCATGCGCACGGCGTCGTTCTTCAGGCTCGAGTAGACGGCGTCGTCGAGGTCCTTGACGAAGACCGCCTTCTGCCGCCGGACGTCCTCCTCGATGGCCAGTCGTTCGCCCAGCGCGGCGTCGTCGAAGAGCGCCGCGGCCTCGAGCGCGGCCATAGCGATTGGTTAGTAGTTGCGATTGGTTAGCAGCAGCGCTTAGGAGTGGAGAGCTAGGCTGTTGGATTGGCAAGCGCTCGACGCTGTGCATGTTGCCTACAACACCTCCGTGTTGAAGAGCGCAATGGACCCCTGAAAAACATGAGATGAAAGCCTTGTTGTGGCTGCTCGTGCTCCGCGCCGCGCAGTGTCGCGGCCGCAGCGACGCGCCGCAGCGCGGCCATCGGCGGAGGAAGGGGCAGCCGTCCAGCTCGGCGGGGCAGCCGTCCGTGGGCGTCTGCTGGACGCGCAACGAGATCCGGCCCGGCGCGGACCCGCTGGAGCCCTGGCGCGAGCTGCGCGCGTCGGCGACGACGTTCCGCCACGCCCACCCGGACGTCGCGACCTGCCTCTTCACGTCCGCGGCGAAGCGCGACGCGGAGGCCGGCGTCGCCGCGCTCGATCTGAAATACGGCCCGCTCCACGGCGGCGAGGTGAAGGGGAAGCTCTTCACGCACGTGGTCGCGCAGGACGACCTGTCCGTGCTCAACGCCTACGCGGGCTTCGCGCGCGTCGCCAAGCGGCAGGACGACCTGCGGCGCTCCAAGGCCGTGCGCCTCGACAGTTTGTGGACCAAGTTCATGAGTCGTTTGATGCGCATCCACAACCTCGCGCGGAGCCCCTTCGACCTGACCCTGTTCGCCGACGACGACACGATCTGGTGCCCGTCCGGGGACCTGGCGGCGCGGCTCCGGGCCCTCGGGGACCCGGCCGCGGGCGCGCCGCGAGGGGCGGACTCGCCCCGGCCGGACGTGCGCTTCGTGCCGCAGGCGTCGGCCAAGGGCAACGTCGACGACGCGCGGGTCGAGGCGGAGCGGCTGCGGGAGACGGCGGCCTGCGCCCGCGCGCTCGGTGATGGCGCCTGGGTCTTCTGCTGGGACGCGGGCGCCGCCGCGCGCCGGGCGATCGCGGAAAACGAACCGCCGCCGACGGCGCGGCCGCGCTGCCCGTCGCTGTCCGCGGACCTGGCGACCCACAGCCAGCGGCTCCAGGGCGGCGCCATCTTCGCGCGCCGGTCGCCGCGCCTCGCCGTCTTCGCGCGCGACTGGATCGAGCGGTTTCTCCGGCTCTACGGCGACGAGCTCGAAAAAACTCCCGACGCCTACGGCGAGGGCCTCGGCAGCGACCAGCCGCCGCTCCGGCTCCTCGTCAAGGATCGCTGCGGCGCCGAGGCCGTCTACAACGGCTCGCGCTGGGACGTCGGCGCGCTGCCCGCGGCCTACAACGGGCGATTTTTGGTTTTGAGCATCCGCGACGGCGGCTTCGACGTGAAAACCACAACGTCGCGCGCCAAGCTCAAGGCGCCGAGCGCCTGGGCCGGCGCCGTCGCGGGCCCCGTGGAGATGCTCCACTCCCACGGCCACGCCAAGTGGCAGGAGCACCACCCGGGGCTGTTGCTCCAGACCGACGCCGTGTGTTCCGCGCTCAACGCGGACCTCGGCGTGCGGACGCTCCAGGACGGGGCGACGACGGGGAGCGTCCACGGCGTGTACGTCGGGGTGGGCAGGTAAACGAGCATTCGCCTCAGCGCGCCGGGACGCCCTCCCCACTCCGCCGCGGTTCCGCGGAACCGCGCGCCCCCCCAAGAACTAGACCACGAATCGAAGGGTAAAGGGTGTCGGGGAATCAAATTCACAGGCGCCGGGACTTGCGCGGGGGCGTGGTGACCTCGTCCCGGCAGACGGGCAGGGACGCGCCGTACTTCTCGCGGCCGAGGAGCCACTGGCGCGCGGTCGCGCGGACCGTCTCGCTCCGCGCCTGCCGGATGAGGTTGCGCATCAGGGGCTCGTCCTGGGCGGCGAACTTGAGCTGGAGGTCGAGCTGGGCGCTGCGCACGTCGGCGCGCCGGCAGTCCGGGCACCGCGCGGCGAAGTACGCGCCCGCGGCCGCGACGTCGCGCGGCCGCACGAGGACGTCGTTCTCCTCGCCGTCGTCGCCGATGCCCGCGGCCGTCGCCGCGCAGACGACGTGGCCGCACTTGGCGACGACGGCGCCGTGGCGGCCGAGGCCGTCGGCGCCGGGCACGCGCGCGAGCTGCTCGCGGAAGCACGACGCGCAGCAGTTGCCGTCGGCGAGGAGGTCGCTGAGCGGGCACGCGTCGCCCGCGCGGCAGAGGTGGGCCGTGGCGTCGTAGAGCGGCAGCTCCGCGAGGGACCCGCCGCAGCAGGCGCAGGCCTCGTCGCTCTCGCGGAAGATGCAGTCCTTGCAGATCACGCCGCCGGCGTCGTGCAGGTAGTCGTGGCCCTCGTTCAGGCCGAGCGTCGACGCGCAGCACGCGCAGGTGAGGTTGCGGTTGACCATGGGCGCTCAGGGCATGTCGGGGAGGGTGTGGGAGATGGTCGGGATGGGCGCGGAGGTGAACTGGTGCGTGTGCGTGCGCTCACCGTTCATGCTTCTCGACGATCATCAGTCGCACGTGTGCGATGCGGTGTCCCGCTTCATCCGAACGGCAAGAACGTACTTGACGAGGATTTGGTTAGCAAACATCAGAGGCCGTCACCGGGGATTTTTTTACTTAGGAGGATGCGACGAGGCGGACGGGCTCGCACACGCGGGAAGCATGAGGTGGGTGGACGCGGCGCACAGGCGGCGAAGCCTCGCGCCGCCTCCGCCCACGCCCGGAGGCTCGGAGCGCCGTGTGGCCGAGAAAGGCCGGAGCGCGGCGCTGGAGTGCGGCCGGGAGGAGTGACACGCCCAGATACGTTTCACACCGACGACAAGCGCCACGGCAGAGCTCTGCCGTCGGGTCGCCCAACAGGCGCTTCAACACACTGCAACAAGCCTTCAAGCCACGAACCGAGCTCTCGATCGAGCGATACAGGCCGAAGCGCAGCCTCTCGCATCATCGCAACGATGGTCTCCGAAGAGAAAATAACCAAGAAACTCACGAAAAAGCTCGGCCGCGAGCCGACGGCCGACGAGGTCGCGAAGAAGATGAAGAAGATGCTGAAGAAGGCCGCGAAGAAGGCCGAGGCCGCGTCGCCGGCCAAGACGGAGAAGAAGCGCAAGGCCGAGGAGGCGCACCCTTCGAAAGACACCAAAAAGCCGAAGACGGACGCGGAGTCCTGGCGCGCCGCGCAGCGCGTCGCCGTGACGCCCGCCGCCGCGTCGGCCAAGTACGCGCCCGCGACGACGTGGGCGTCCGCGCGGTCGATGGTCGACGCCGAGCTCGTCGCGCTCTGCGAGGCCAAGGGCTGGCCCGGCCCGACGCCGATCCAGGCCCAGTGCTGGCCCATCCTCTGCGACGACCGCGACGTCGTCGCCGTCGCGGAGACGGGCTCGGGCAAGACCCTGGGCTTCGGCATGCCCGCGCTGTCGAAATTCAAGCAAGCGCTCGCGGGCCGGGGCAAGCGCCAGCCCGCGATGTTGGTCTTAGCCCCGACGCGCGAGCTCGCGAACCAGAGCTTCGAGGTGCTCCAGGAGTTCTGCGGGAAAGTCGGGGCGACCGCGGCCGTCGCGTACGGCGGCGTGCCGAAGCACGAGCAGAAGCGGGAGATCGCCAAGTGCGCGGCGCTCGTCGCGACGCCGGGCCGCCTCAACGACTTCATCCAGGAGGGTTCCGTCGACCTGTCGAAGGTGTCTTTCTTCTGCCTCGACGAGGCGGACCGCATGCTCGACATGGGCTTTGTGCAGGAGGTGAAGAAGATCGCCGCGGCCTGCGCCAACCCGGAGAAGCTCACGGCCATGTTCAGCGCGACGTGGCCCACGGAGGTGCAGAACATCGCCTCCGAGTTCCTCAAGCCCGACTTCGTGCGCGTCAACGTCGGCGCGGAGCGCGGCGCGGACGAGGGCCCGGAGGCGAACAAGCGCATCGACCAATCCGTGATCGTCACGGAGGAGCGGTCGCGCGACGGCCGCCTGCTGGAGATCCTCAAGCAGCGCTACCAGTCGGGCACGTCGGCCAGCTACGCGACGGCGCGCCTCATCGTCTTCGGCCTCTACAAGAAGGAGTGCGCGCGCCTCGAGACGTTCCTCAACTCGAAAAAGTGGAAGTGCGTCGCGATCCACGGCGACATGTCGCAGGCCGCGCGGAACCAGGCCTTCGAGGACTTCAAGAGCGGCGCCGTGCCGTTGCTCGTGGCGACGGACGTCGCGGCCCGCGGCCTCGACATCCCCAACGTCGAGCTCGTCGTCAACTTCTCGTTCCCTTTGACCATCGAGGACTACGTGCACCGCATCGGCCGCACGGGCCGCGCGGGCAAGACGGGCACGGCCATCACGCTCTTCCACGGCGAGGGCCACGAGAAGGCCCTCGCCGGCGCGCTCCAGAACGTCCTCCGCGGCGCGGACATGCCCGTGCCCAAGGAGCTCCTCAAGTTCGGCTCCACGGTGAAGAAGAAGCAGGACAAGAACTACGGCGCCTTCGGGCCCAAGCGCGGCATGGAGGGCAAGACCGCGACGAAGATCACCTTCGACTAAGATTTGAGCTTAGCCAGCTCGAAGGACTGCGCGCGGCGCCGGTTCGCGACGGCCTGGGGCAGGCCCGGCCGATTGGGCGGCTCGAGGAAGAGGAGCGCCGCGAGCGCGCGCCGGCGCGTCGCGTCGTCGTCCGCCGTCGCGAGGACCGCCTCCCAGGCCGCCGGGGAACGCGGCGCGACGGCGGCGGCCTCCGCGGCGGCGGCCGGTTTTCCGGTGGCCCCGAGGCAAAAAGCGAGCCAGCGCCGCGCCGGCGCGTCCTCGCCCGCGGCCTCCGGCAGCCGCTCGCCGGTCCAGGGCCAGGCCTCGCCGTCCAAGACGGCGGTCCCCGCGAACGAGAGGCCGTCGGCGGCCATCTCCAGCTTTGCCGCGCCGGCGGTGCCGTCCTCGGCGTACTCGCCGCGGAACGCGAGGCCGTCGGCGTCGCCGACGAGCGTCGCGCCGCCGTTGTAGGTCGCGCGGCCGGAGCCGTCGAACGCGAGCTCGCTTCCGTAGAACGACTCGACCCAGCGCGACCGCGGCCACGCCGCCGCCGCGAGGCCGTAGCGCGCGGGGCCGTCGACGAGCGCGCGCGCCGCGGCCGCCGCGGCCTCGGCGTCGCCGGCCTCCGAGGCCGCGAACGACGCGACGACGGCGCCGATCGCCGCGTCGTCGCCGACGAGCTCGCGCGCGACGGCTCCGACGGCGTCGTAGCCGTTCAGGCCCGTGTAGAAGCCCGGCGCGTCGAGCCGCTTCGCGTTGACGCCGGCGCTGCAGCGCGTGAGGCAGGGCGCCGCCGCGACGTCGAGTTGTGTGGTGTCGATGGTGTCGGCGATGACTTCGAGGCACTCCAGCGCCTGCGGGCCGAAGCCGAAGCCGACGCGGCCGCAGCTGTTTATGTTCGTGCAGACGGCGAGTTTCGCTGGCGGCTCCAGCGCTGTTGCGATAGCGCAGCAGAGCAGGACAATGGCATGTCGCATCTGTAAGAGCGACTCACAGATCAGCGCAGCAAAAACAGGACGCCATCATGCCCGGTTCAACAAAGCTTCAAAGGCATGCTTCAGTGTAAAAATCGCTGATTTTGCGCTGCCCCGGGGCCCTTACACGCCGCGGGCAGCCTGGAAAGCATGCTCCGTCGCAAAACGAAGCCCGAAGCACCGCCGAACCAAGATGCCGAGTCGCCGCCGGAGCCGCAGACCGCGCCAAAACCGGACGCGACGCCGAAGGAGGAGCCGTGGTGGGCCGTCACGACGCCGAGGAACGAGGCGCGCCTCTTCTTCGCCGTCTACTTCGCGTGGCAGAGCGCCACGCTCCTCGCGAAGATGCGCGACATGCGCGTCTTCCTCGACATGGGCTACCTCCCCAAGGGCGGCCGCTTCTGCTGGCACGCGCCCGTCGCGCTGACGCCCGCGACGCACGGCTACGCGGTGCTGCTCCTCGCTGCTGCTTTGTTGGCGCTCGCCGCGGCCGTCGCGCGCGCGGCGCCGGCGCCGGCGACGCGGTGCCTCGCCCTCGGCGCCTACGCCGCCGCGCGCGTCGCGTTCCCGCCCGTCGAGCGCATGGCGTCCATCGAGAAGAAGGCGAACATGGTCTACGTCACTTTGCTCCTCGCCGCCGCGGCGCCCGAGGACGCGCTCACCGGCGCCTGGGGCGCGCCGACGGCCGCCTGGCCGCTCACGGTCTACCGCGTCGTTATTTACGTCGCCTACTTCAACGCGGGCGTGTCGAAGCTCGTCGCCGCGTCGCCGACGCCGTCGTCCGCGGAGTTCGCCGCGACGTCCCACGGCGCGGCGCGCTGGCTGCCCGGGTTGTCCGCGCTCGTGCTCCGCGGCGCGCGGCGCGTGTCGTTGGACTTCTCCGACGGCGGCACGCTGCGGGGGGCCGTCGCGTCGCATCTGGCGCTGCGACCGCCGCTCGAGGGCGTCGCGAGGCAGCTCGTCGACGCGCCGGCGGCGTGCGCCCTCCTCTCATTCGGGTCCCTCGCCTTCGAGCTGCTGGGCTGGACGCTGGCCCTGCGGCCGCGGGAAGCGCACCGGCTGCTGGCCGCGGGCGTCGGCGCCGTCGGCTTCCACCTGGGCATCTTCCTGCTCATGCGCATCAACTACCTGCTGTTCTGGGGCCCGTCGCTGCTTTCCTTCTTCACGCCCTTCCTCGCGACGGCGGCCCTGGGGGCGTCGCCGCCGGCACCGCCGCCGAGGCGCCCCGCGCGGTGGCGCGCGGTCGCGGTCGCGGTCGCGCTCGTCGGCGCGTCGCTGCTGCCGAACGCGCACACCTGGGAGGACCACCCCCTCAAGCGCTGGATCCCCTGGGTCTCCGAGTACGAGATGTTCGCGTCGCGCAAGGCCCACGACCTGGCGCTCGGGCCGGCGGTCCGCGCGCGCGTCGCGTGGGCGCCGCGCGGCGGCGACCTCCGGCCCTGGTCCCCGTCGGGCGGCGGCCTCCACGTGCTCAAGCAGTCGCGGGACGTGCTCACGCAGCTCGCCGGCTGCGAGAGCCGCGGCGCCGCGAAGCTCGCGCGCGCCGTCGAGCTCGACGTCGGCGAAAGTATATCCCGCCTCGAGGTCTACCAGGTCGTCGCGGCGCTCGCCGCGGCGCCCGACGCGCCGGACGCCGGCGCCGGCGACGACGGCGACGACGCGCCGTCGGCGGCCTCCTTCAACGCCGCGCGCGAGGCCATGGCGCGGCGGTACGACTTCCGCGCGACGTCCCGCTTCGTCGCCACCGTCGCCGACGACCGCATCCTGCAGCTGGACCGCAACGGCACGAACCGGTGGACGCTGCGCTTCGCCGGCTGCGGCGCGACGAGCATCCCCGTCGCGACGTGGCGGGACCGCGCGCGGACGTGCGGCGCGGCGAGCCGCCGCCGGACCGTCGGCGCGGCCGTCGGCGCGGCGCTCGCGGACTCCCCCAAGGGCGAGCACCTCGCGAAGCGCGAGGACGCCGGCGACCGCATCGCCGAGGCCAAGGCCTGGCTCCGGGTGGCGTCGAGCGAACGCAAGCGGTGGACGGGCCTCCCGCTGACGCCGTCCGTGTCGCCTCCGCCGTGGGTCTCGACGGGCGTCTTCGCGACGAAGGACCCGCTCGCCGCGACGCTCGGGCGCACGGTCCAGAGCTACACGCTGAACGTGGCCTGCAAGGAGGAATTGAAGGGGCCCTGCGGCAAGGCCAAGAGCCGCGCGCTCTGCGTCGCGCGGCGCGCGGGCGCGCGGGCATCGCCGGAGTGCTGGGCCGCGATCCAGCCGGCCCTCGGCGGCGCGCTGCGCAAGCTCGTGCCCGAGGAGGTCGAGGAGCCCTCGGCGCGCCGCGGGCGGCGCGACGGGCGCCGCGGGAGGCGCGACGGCGGCGGCGGCGCGGAGAGGCCCCCGCGCCGCGGCGACGGCGAGGAGGGAGACCGCGGTCCGAGGCCCCCGCGCCGCGGCGACGGCGACGACGGCGAGGACCGCCCGAGGCCCGCGCGCGCGCCGCGGCGGCGGCCCGGCGACGGCGGCGACGGCCGGCGGCCGCGGCCCCGCGGCGACGCCCCGGCGTTCGACGCGCCCCCCGACGAAGCCGGCGCGGCCCGCTAGACGCGCCTTTTAATCCGCCTTGTCGCCCTTGGCGAGGTTCTCGAGGTGCGCCTTGGCGTCGGCCGCGGCCTGCTCCGCCTCGTCCTGGAGCTTCTTCTTCTTGACGACCTGCTGGCAGTAGTACTCGGCGTCGAAGACCTCGTAGGCGTACGTCGGCCGCCAGGGCTTGGGCTCCGTGTTGATGCAGGCGAGGGCCGAGATCAGCACGAAGCTCAGGACGTAGTGGCCGCGCTTGATCTGGTCGAGGTCGTCCGCGAGGTCGCTGCCGGGCGCCGCGGCCGCGACGCGCAGCTCCGCGGGCTGGAGGTACCAGATGAGGTAGGGCGCGGCGAAGACGAAGTCGACGACGAGGTAGAAGGGGCGGAAATTGAAGGGCACCGTGTCCCGGTTGAGGAAGAGGTCGCGGACGCCGACGTACCAGCGCCGGTAGACGCCGACGGCCATGACGACGATGAGCAGCGGCACGAGGACGCTCGTCACGAGGCTCGGGATCCTGCGGGCGGCGCGGTTTGCATTTTTTTCGGTTTGAAAACGACGCGGGGCGCGCGCATGACGGCGTAGTAGGCGCGGGCGACCTCCGGCTCCTGGAAGTCGAAGACCAAGTCGACGATGACGATGCCGAGGACGCCGGCGCAGGCCTGCTGGAGCGCGTAGGCCGGCCAGCCCCAGGCCTTGCCGGGCTTGCGGTCGCCGCCGGGACCCGCGTACATGCTGGCGCTTTGGCTGGGCTGGCTGCCGCTGCTGGCTGCCCACCAGAATTCGTCGAGCCTCGGGGTTCAAGTTTGGGGGTACTCCTCTGCACATGTCGATGGTGCCGAGGCTGCCCGCTCGTGCTCGAGCTGCTCGCGAGCGCCAACGACGTCCCGAAGCGCGGCCCGCGTGCGGCGCGGGTGCATCCAGCATGGCGGGGGATCGCCCGAAGCGCGAGCGGAAAATGAGCGTCCAGGCTGAGGAGAGCGCGGCCAACGCGAAGGCGGCGACTGCGCTCGCGGCCGCGGCGCGCGAGGACCGCGAGGCCAAAGCCAAGGCCGCAAAGGCAGCCAAGTCCAAGCCCGCGGCGGCGGCCAAGAAGGCGACCAAGACCAAGAAACGCACCGTCGAGAAGAAGTCCGCCGCGCCCAAAAAGAAGAAGGCCGCACCGGCCAAGAAGCCCGCGACGAAAAAGACGAAGACGAAGAAGACCGACAAGACGTGCCCCGTGCTCTCAGTCGAATGGACGGTTTCAGTCACAGATATAGAAACTGGCAGTGATGACGGCGAATGCTACAAATCAGATGGACCGCCTCAGAGTAAAGAAACACTCGAATTCGAGGCTCCCGCGGGAGCGAAGTGGTTCACCATGCGCGAGGACAGAGACGGCGTCCAGTTCGGCCCCTATTTCGAACTGAGAGAAGCCCAGGAGTTTAATTACGACGCAGGAGAAGATGGCAGCTTCACATACGCCGAAGCCATGAAACTTATCGGAGACCACGAAGCCAAGAAGAAAAAAGATGGCCCGCCCATGCTCCACTGGGGCTCAGTGGGGGGCTACAGCGCGGCTTTCGAATTGAGGAAGGCCGACGGAGGCGCGCTCCAGTTTCGATTCGTCGACGCTCAGGTGGAAATCCGCAGCCCGGAGGAATATGAGGATTGTGGCTACTACTAGTACCAGGCTCCTGATGATCCCCGGAGTAGAGGCGGCCTGGCACCCATTCCGCCCGAATAAAGAAAAGTAGCCTCCTGCTGGCTGCCCACCAGAATTCGTCGAGCCTCGGGGTTCAAGTTTGGGGGTAACTCCTCTGCATATGTCGATGGTGCCGAGGCTGCCCACACAGCTCGCGCTGGGGCGGACGTCGGCCAGCACGCGGCACTTTTGATCGAGCGCATCGGGGGCGACAACACATGCCACCGCAACCTCCTCCCGCAGGAGCCCTGCTCAATAAATCGGTGCTTTGGAACGACGAGTGGCGTAGCTCGGTAGGCTCGAAACCGAGACCGCTCTGGGTCCTGCCGCCGGGCTCGCACGATGGTCCCGCGGACACCTACCAAGTGAAATGGAGCGAGCGCGGCGGCGGATGCAGCCACAACTACGTCGACGTAGAGGACGTGCGTGACGACGACGAAGCGGTCGCGCGCGCGGCGCACGCGCAGGACGTCGAGGCTGCCGGACCGCCGGCAGCTGCCGCGCCGTTGAACCAGGGCCTGCGCCTCCTCGAGGCCGCGGGTTCGCACACGGTCGTCGTCAAGAAGGAGCGCGATGAGGCCAAAGAAGACGCGGAAGAGCAGGAAGAGCTGGCCGGTCAGCTCGTCCAGTCGGAAAACGCGAAGATGACGCACATCGACGAGCTCAAGGCCGCGGTCTCTACTAAGGACACGCGCATCGGGGAGCTCGAAGCGGACCTCTTGAGCAACGCTACGCGCATCGGGGAGCTCGAGGCGTCGCTCCGGGCGAAGGACGAGACGATCGCGGAGCTGCGCGGACGCGTGGCCGAGCTGGAGAAGTCGGGGCCGAAGAAGCACAAGCCCGCGGCGGCGGCGAAGAAGCCCGCTGCGGCCAAGAAGAGGAAGGTCGCGCCGCCGGCCAAAAAGCCCGCGACGAAGAAGACGAAGACCCAGAAGATGGACAAGACGTGCCCACTGTCTTCCGTGGGATGGATAATTAATGTTATAGATGAAGAAGGCAACGAAGAAGCCGGCGACTTCCATGATTCAAAAAAACCGATCAGCAACCAAACACTCAAGATCAAAGCACCTCGTGCGGGGGCAAAATGGTTCACCATTCGCGAAGAAGGTCAGTTTGAATTTTATCCCTGGTTCAACTTCAAAAATGGCGACGAGTATGATTACGAGTTCGCCGAAGTCGGTAGTTTTGAATACTTCGAGGCTATGAACTTTATCATAGACCACAAAGCCGGCAGAAAACGTGGCCCGCCTACGATCCACTACGAATTCGCGCACCCCGGTTGGGGAAGCATCAATTTCGAGTTGAGAAAGGCCAAGAAAAAAGGTGAGCTCCAGGTTCGATTCGTCGACGCTGAAGTTGAGATACTCAGCCCAGAGGAGTATGATGGATACCCATGGGTCCTGTAAGCTAAGAGCAAAATAGCCTCCTTACTACATGAGCGGCGGCGGCTCGTCGTCGTCGTCGTCGTCGGCGGCGGCCGGCGCCGGCGCGTTCTTGCGCACGGTGGAGACCGCGGTCATCTTCGCGGCGTCGTCCCTCGGGGGCCGCTTCGCGTCGGAGAGCATCATGGCGCCGAGGGAGCCGATGGACTTCTCCGGCACGGCGCTGCGGTTGTCGAGGGGCTGCGCGTTCGACGGCTTGAGCCGCGTCTGGCCGTGGCGGTCCTTGGCCGGCGCGGGCCCGGCCTCGAGGCGCCGGAGCCGGTCGTCGCGCGCGGCCTTGTTCTTCTCCTTCAAAAACAGGGGCCCGGCGTCGGCGTCGAGCTTGGGCATGGTGACGACGAGGTGGCCCGTCGTCTTCGACCGCTGCGCCTTGGCGTCCGACGCTTTGACCTCCGCGGGCAGCGCGAGGCGCAGCGTCTTCGACTTGATGACGACGGAGACGTAGTGCGGGTGCACGTCCAAATCGATCAGCGACGAGTCGAGGTGGCGCTGGACGTGGACGTCCAGGACCACGAAGCCGGGCTTCGACTCCTCGTCCCAGTGGAACTCCCACTTGCCCTGGTTGCACTGCTGGATCGCGCCGCGCTCCTCCCGCTCCCGGGCCTTGGCGACGGCCTTGGCCTGCTCCTTCTCGTAGTCGCGCTCCTTGGGCTTCATGGCGTTCTGCTTGTGGTCCTTCTCGGCCTTCTGCTCCGCGACCTCCTCGTACATTTTCGTGCGGACCTCCGGCGTGTAGGGCGCGGCCTCGTCGACGTCGAGGTCGCGGTAGTCCACGGGCGCCTTGGCCTTTTTTTCCGCGGCCTTGGCCGCCGCCAGGCCCCGCAGCTCGACGCTGAGCTTGGGCAGCTGCTGCTCCGCGACGATGCGGACGCCGCGCGTGATCGGTTCGCCGTCGACGAATTTCAGCTGCGGCAGCCGCGCGACGACGTAATTCTTGAAGCCCGGCCAGTCGACCTGGGCCGGGTTGCCCATCATGTAGAGGTCCCGAAGATGAATCCGGCTCGCCAGGTTGTCCATGGATTCCTCCAACGCGTCGACGTCCACGAAGTTCACCGTCAGGTCCAACTTGTTCAGGAACTCGCACTTGTCCAAACCCTCGACCTTCGAGATGTTGTTCAGCGCCAGATTGAGGTACTCCAAATCCTTCATGTGGTGCAAATTCTCCATCTTCGAGATGATGTTGTTCTGGAGGTACAGGATCTTCAATTTCCGGCAGATCGTGCCGAGGCACGGCGCGATCGCGAGGAGCTCCTCCTGGTGCAGCGTCAGCTCCTCGAGCGTGCTGATGACGCCCTCGTTGTGCTCCGCGCGCTTCCGGATCAGCTCCCGCGTGATATGGTTCGCGCCCTTCTTCGGGCCCTCCTCCTCGTCGTCGTCCTTGGGCTCGGCCATGCTCGCGAGGCGGCTCATCGTCGGCGGCGCACGGCGTCTGCGGCGCGACCGGTGGTGTGGTTGGCGGCGACGGCGACGCGGCGACGCGGCGACGACGCGGCGACGCGGCGCACGGCTCGGCGGCGCGCGCGACCGACGGCTTGTCGTTGCGCGCGGGCGCAGCGGCTGCTGAGCTGCCACAGCCCGAGATCCGTTCAGCGACAGCTTGAACGCCTCGTTGAGCGCCCGCGTGCGCGGGTCTTTTTGGGCGGCACTCTGCCCGAGTCTCTGCTGGGAGGCCTCCCGGGCGACGGCGCAGCAGTCGTTGCGGCAGGCGCTGCCGCAGCGTTTTGCCGGTCGGCGAGGTTGGCCGGGGGGCGCCGGCGCGCGCCGCGCGCGACTCGGATCGCCTCGGCTCGTGGCAAGGGCCTAGGGCTTCGGCGAAGCTTACCGAAGTACGACGTCAATGACCGTGAAGTGCACGATGCACGCCGCGGTCGCGACGAGCATCCGGACCTGGCAGAGCCACGGGTACTTACGCCGCCACATGCGCTTGTCCCGGGCCGCACGCGTGCCGGCCAAGGGCGTCGGCGGCCCCTTTCGTGGGGCCGTTGACCAAGACGCGCACGCTCGCGTACAAGGACCTCGAGAACTAGGTCCAGGCGATCGCGGAGGACAAGCTCCGGGCCGCGGTCGTCGGGGACACGTGCGAGCCCCGGGACAAGCACGACCACGACCACACCGGAGCCGGCGGAGCGTATTTGCGTTACACGAAGGCGCCACTGGTCGCCCTCTCGCTCGCGGAGCGCGTCGCCAGCGCGCTCCAAGACGCCCAAGGCAAGACCGACGACCAAAGAGGAGACGACATCGCCGCGTTCAAGCACGTGCCAGTGTTCTTCGCGGGCTAGGGCGCGCAGACCGTTGGGAAGGCGCCCTCCGCGGACAAGGAGAAATGTGACATGCGCGACGACGGGGAGTAAGAAGTGCGGAGCAGCTAACATAGCCTACCTAGGCCCTCGGATGACGCTGGGACGGCGCGAGGCACGATCGTCTCGCCGTGATTTTCACGAGGCGTTTGCCGAGAAAATCACAGAGATGATGGCTTCGCGCGACGCGAACGGCATGGCCTGGGAGGCGACGAACGTGTCACCGCGCTCGAACGCATCGCTCGTCGTCAAGTTTCGGGCCCAAGACGTGTCGCGCTCGAGTGCTTACCGGCCGAGCCCACACAGCGCTCTCTCGTTCGACGCCATCGCCGCCGCGGATGCGGAAGCACGCCGCAAGCCCGTCCATGCGCTCGGCCTCAGCAACTCGCAAAAGCTCGCGACATCGGTGCTCCTAAAGCTGAAACATCGCCTCGCCGCCGATCGGGCCGAGCACGCGCCGCGCGCGGTCGAGAACGCGGGCGGCGACGGCCGGGCGACCGCGGCGGCGGCTCTGTGGTCCATCGCCGGCGACCGCTCGGCCGACCACGTCAGCCGCTGTCTCGAACTCGTCGCGGACCTCGACCGCCACTTCGCGCCGCAGTCGCCCGTCCACGGGCTCTACCAGTCGTTCCTCCACGAGCCGTCGAGCGTCGCCGATTACAAGGAGCGCGTGCTCGCGATCGTGGCGCATCTCAAGCCAAACCAGCGCCTGCTCCACAAATTCTACGGCCTCCTTCCGGCGTGGGTCTTCCGTTAGGGGACGCGCGCCTCAAAAATTCGACGGCCTCGTCGCGCCCTGGGTCTTTAGATAAACGCGCCTTACCAGCAACTAGCAGCGGGACGCGTCGACGGTCCAGGTGCCCGCGGCCCAGTCGACGGCGTAGTCGCAGCGGCGGTAGGCGTCGTCGTGCCAGGGCTTCGTCGGGTAGCGGCGGCCGCGGTCGTCGTAGACCGACTCCACGGTCTTCAGGCGGTGGTCGAAGGCCGGCGACTGGAGCCAGGACGGGTCGCCGTCGACCTGCGGCGCGCCCGCGAGGTCGACGAGGCGCCGGATGTAGGCCCAGGCGTTGTCGCCTTCCGCGGACGTGTAGTGCAGGTCCTGCTCGCGGCCGCTCGCCGCGACGGTCGCCAGCCGCGCGTCGACCCAGGCCTCGCGCTCGTCCCTCCCCGCGAGCGCCGCGTCCGGCGCCGCCAGGGCCTCGGCGAGGTACAGCGCCTGGGCCTCGAAGAAGGGGATGGGGCAGGGCACGGACAGCTGGACGCCCACGAAGCCCAGCGTCGGCCGCGCCGCGTGCTGCAGATGCAGGTACAGCGGCCGGCAGCTCCGGCGCCCCTCGAAGGTCATGTCCACGGCCTCCTCCTCGAAGAAGGGGAAGTCGTAGACGTAGCCCGTCGCCAACAGAACCCGGTCCACGGCCGGGCCCGGCGCGTAGGACTCGCCGACCTTCATCCGCCCGTCGGCCGTCAGCTCGGCGCCGACGGGCACGTGCGTCACGCCGTCGCCGCCGTAGGGCTCCGCGCACTTCTTCTCCATCACGTACACCCAGGACGCGACGCCGCGCAGCTCGCGCGCGAGGTCGACGCCCGACGACCGGCCGCCGACGACGAGCACGGACTTGCCCGCGTAGGGGCTCGGCTCGTCGTAGCGCTGCGAGTGCGAGATTGAGCGGTCGCCGCCGCCCGCGAGCCACGCCGCCTGCCCCGCGATCTCCGGCTCGTAGGGCCGGTTGTAGTGGCCGTTGGCGACGACGACGGCGTCGAAGCGCTCGTCGCGGCAGCCGCCGTCGCCGTCCCACGCGACCGTCCACGCGTCCCCGGCCGGCGCGACGGACGTCACCGTGGCGCCGAAGCGAGCCACGGCGTCGACGCCGAATTCCGCCGCGTAGCGCTCGATGTAGGCGCCCAACGCCTCCGCGTCGACGTACGACGGCAGGCCCTCGGCGAAGTCCAAATCGGGCGATTGCATGACGACGGTCGGCAGGTTCGTCCGCAGGCTCTTGTAGACGACGTCGTTCGTCGGCGCCGGCGCCCAGACGCCGCCGAACGTCGCGCCGGCCTCGAAGAGCGTCGGCTCGTGGCCGCCGCGCTTCAGGTAGCGCGCGGCGACGACGCCGGCGCTGCCGCCGCCGATGACGGCGACCTTGCGGCTCACGCGCGGCGTCAGCGCCGCCGCCGCCGCGTGGGACGCCATGGTGGCTAGGAAGCGCGCTAGTTGCATGCGACGACGACGCTGGCGGCGCTGTCGATGGCGCGATGGTTGACTTCTGCCACTTGCCGGCGCGGTGCCGCTCGCTGAATCAGCCTCGAGAGGCAGCCGATGCGCTCGCACGCAATCACCATCATACTCATCCAAACGCTACTTCGCAGCTGCCCAAGCAGCGCGTTCCTCGCAACGTCGATGGCCAGGAAAGCCGCCGCCGCGCCCCTGCGCCGTTCGTCGCGCCTTGCCGGTGAGGCTGCACCCGCCGCCTCGACGACGAAAGCCGCCGCCAAGGCGCCGAAGCGAGCCATCACCACGAAGGCCGCCTCGACGACGAAGGCCGCCGCAAAGGCGCCGGCGGGCGCGCGCCGCGACGCCAGCGACGCGACCGCGGCCGCGGCGAAGGCGCTCGCGTCGAAGTTCGAGTACGCCTTCGGCGTCGACGAGGTCGGCCGGGGCTGCCTCGCCGGGCCCGTCGTCACCTGCGCGTGCTACCTGCCCCCCGGCGCCGAGATCGATGATTTGACGGATTCGAAGCAGCTCGCGACGGAGGACCTGCGAGAAGCCGTCTACGCGCGCCTGCTCGCCACGCCGGGCCTCCGCTTCGCGCTGGCCAAGGCCGAGGCGCCCGTCGTCGACGAGCTCAACATCCTCCAGGCCAACCTCCAGGCCATGCGAACGGCGTCAGAAGCGCTCTGCGACCGCCTCGCGGCCGGCGGCGAGCGCGGGGGCGATCTCGAGGTCCTGGACGTCGCGACGCGCGACGACGACGAGGACGGCGCGGACGCCGACGACGGCGCGCGCTTTTTAGCGCTCGTCGACGGCGTCGACGACCCCTGGCGCTACCGGCCGCGCGCGCGGCGGGACCGCGACCTGGCCTGCCGCACGATCAAGAAGGGCGACGCGAGCGTTTCCGCCATCTCCGCGGCGTCGGTCATCGCCAAGGTCACGCGCGACCGCATCATGAACGCCCTCGCCGGGGACTACCCGGAGTACGACTGGGCGAGCAACAAGCAGCGTCCTGTGGCGGTTTTTCGAGAGATTTTGACCGGGAAAACGAAGAGAAATCGTTACCGACATGCTTGGTAGGCAACAAGGCCTACGGCACGCATGCGCACCGCTGCGCAATCGTCGCAAACGGCTGGGTCGACGGCGTCCACCGCGAGACCTTCGACCCCGTCCGCTCGATCCTCGCGGCCGGCGGCGCCAACAAGCGCAAGCCCGCGGCGAAGAAGCCCGCGGCGAAGCGCGAGGCGAAGCCCGCGGCGAAGAAGCCCACGGCGAAGCGCGCGCGGAAGTAAGTGCCGCACTCCGGGTCCTACAGACCGGTATTACAGAGGGGGCACGTCGGCTGCTTCCCCTTGCGCGCGTTCGTGAGCGCCCAGCGGTCGATGCACTCGATGTGGAAGCAGTGGGAGCATTTCAGGACGCGATAGATGTCGCCGTCGGCCCACTGCTCCGCGCAGATGGGGCAGCAGTCCATGTGCTCGAGGAACGCGGCCTCGAGCTCCGACCGCTCGAGGCAGCCCTTCGCTCTGTCGCCGAGGCGCCGCCGGAGGTCCGCGACGCTCAGGTTCCGCACGCCGTAGTAGACCTCGGTCTGCAGCTTGCGCACGCGGTTGATGACCTCGTCGAAGACCTTGTCCGCGTCCGGCGGCGGCGGCCCGCCGAGGCCCGCGCCGCCGGCCGCGCGGAACTGGCCGCTCATCGCCTGCTGCACCGCGTAGAACGAGAGCAGCAGCCCGCCGAAGGTCACGAACGGGAGCAGCTGGGGCGCCAGCGCGTCCAAATTCATCGGCAGGCTCCCGTTCAGCGCCATCATGCCCAGGCTCACGGCCACGCTGAAGGCGAAGCCGGACGCGCCGCCGCCGGCGTAGAAGAAGAACATGGTGTCGTCGCGGGACGCGGGCGCGCCCGAGGCGTGCGCGCGGTCGAGGAGGTCCCGCGGCCGGCCGCGTGGAGCCGGGCGGCGGAGCAGCAGCACGGATTGCTTCGGGCCCCGCGTGCTGACGGCAGCTTCATTTGGGTGAACGTCAAGGAGCAGTGTTTATCTCATTTCTCGCGCAGGTACTTGAACGCCACGGAGAAGTCCTTGTCGGCGTAGCCGCCCTCGCAGAGCGCGTCGTAGAAGGCCAGCGCCGCGGAGCCGAGGGGGATCTCCGCGGCGACGGGCGCGGCGGCGCCCGCCGCGAGGCCCAGGTCCTTGCGCATGAGCTTGGCCGCGAAGCCGCCGGCGTAGTCGCGGTTCGCCGGCGACGCCTCCGTGACGCCCGGCGCCGGGTGGTACGTGTCGCAGGACCAGCAGCGGGCCGTCGACGTCGACAACACCTCGTTGAGCGCCGCGGGCGAGACGCCGAGGCGGTCGCCCAGGTTCGTCGCCTCGGAGACGCCGAGCATGGAGATGGCCAGCACCAGATTGTTGCAGAGCTTGGCGACGCCGCCGGCGCCGACGCCGCCGCAGTGGATCACGCGCGCGCCCATCGATTCCAGGAGCGGCCGCGCGGCGTCGACGTCCGCGGCGTCGCCCCCGACCATGAACGTGAGCGTGCCCGCGTCCGCGGCGGGCACGCCGCCGCTCACGGGCGCGTCGAGGAAGGTGATGTTTTTCGCCGCGGCCGCCGCCGCGACCTCGCGCGACACCGCCGGGTCGACCGTCGACGTGTCGACGCACGCGCTCCCCGCGGCGAGCGCCTCGAGCACGCCGCCGGGCCCGAGGTAGACGGCGCGCACGGCGTCGTTGGACGGCAGCGACGTCACGACGGCGTCGGCGCCGCGCGCGGCGCCGGCGACGTCCGCCGCGGCCTCGACCTGGCCGACCTCCGCCGCGAGCTTCGGGCCGATGGCGACGTCGCCGTCGAAGGCGGACACGAGCGCGGTCCTGGCCACGTTGCGCGCCATGCCGTAGCCCATGTTGCCGAGGCCCACGAAGCCGATCTTGCGCAGAGCCATGCTGCTGTCGCGTGAAAGGGTGAGAGCTTGTGGCAGAACCTGGCGAATCACAAATTCTGGATCGACGGCATGTACGACGGCACCATCATCGTCGACCTCGTCACAAAAAGGCTGAAACCAAGCATGGGCAGCCTCTCTTCGCGCTGATCCTGGGCTCCATATAAGCAGCGCCGTCGGAGTCGCCGCGGCGCGAGAAGTGGACGAGCAGCGCCGTCGGCGCAATGGGCAGCCCGCTCTTCGCGCTGGTCCTGGGCGCTGCCATCGCGCAAGCCGCCGCGACCACCGTCGTGTCCACGGCGAGCGAGTTCGATGCCAACATGGGCCAGCTCGATGTCGTCGACGTCGTCTCAATCGAACTCGCTGCCGATCTCGCCTGCGTGTCGCCCGTGTCGATCGGTGCGAAAAAACAGCTGACGATCTCCTCGCCGTCGGAGGACGAAATCTACAGCCTGAGCAGCTGCGGCAGCGCCGGCCTGTTCACGGTCACCGGCCAGGCGGCGCTCACGCTGGCCAACGTCGCGATCTCGGGCGAAATGAACACGACGATCTCGGTGGCCAACGAGGCGTCCGCGGCGCTCGACGGCGTCGTCGCGGCGGGCAACGCGGGCGACACCGGCGGGTTCTTGCGCGCCGCCGACGACGCGACGGTCACCGTGGCGGGCGGCGCCTTCTCAAACAACTCGGCGGAAGACGGCGGCGTCTTCTATTTCGAAGGCAACGCCGTCGCGGCCGTCGACGGCGGCGTCTACGGCGGCAACAGCGCGTCGTCGAGCGCCGGCGTGATTTACGTCGCCGACGCGGCGCAGTTGGCCTGGTCCGGCGGCGTCGTCGCGGGCAACGCCGCGTACTTAAACGGCGGTTTCGCGACGGTGGACGAGGACGCGACGGCCACCGTCGACGGCGGCGCGGTCTTCGCCAACAACACGGCGGGGGTGACGGGCGACTACATGGACACGGACGGGTGGCGGTACGGGCCCGGCGCGTTCGCGAAGGTCCGGGGCGTCTTGACCGTCGGCAACGCGACCGTCCGGGGCCACGAGGTCGCCGTGCACGTGTCGCTGGGAGGTTTCGTCCACGTTTTAGGCGGAAACTGGACGGAGAATTTCTGGCACGTCGACTTCGGCGCCGTCTTCTTCATCGTGGGCTTTAGCACGGTCGTGATCGATGGCGGCACGTTTTCGAAGAACACGGCGGTCATTTCGGGCGTCGCGCACGTCAAGCGGGGCAGCCTCCTCATACGGGGCGGCGAGTTCCGCGACAACTACGGCGACGAGCGCGGCGGCGTCGCCTGCGTCCGCGGCGAAGGCTCCGAGCTCCTCGTCACCGGCGGGACCTTCGCGAACAACTTCGCGCTCGAGGGCGGCGTCTTCTTCGTCTACGAGGGCTCGCTGAACGTCTCCGGCGGCGTCTTCGAGGGCAACGCGGCCGCGGAGGGGGGCGTCGCCAAGTCCCAAAACCGGCTCGTCGTCTCCGGCGGCGTCTTCTCGAACAACGGCGCCGAGGAGACCGGCGGCGTCTTCCACGCCGGCGACGACGTCGCCTTTGTGGAGGGCGGGTCCCTCTACGGGTCCTTCGACTGGTCCGGCGGCGCGTTCCACAACAACTCGGCGCCTCTCGGCGGCGTCCTCTACCACGCCATGTCCACGGCCCCTCGCGTACGGCTCCCGCCCGTCGCCACCGGCAACGTGGCGGAGATCGGCGGCGTCGTCTACGCGGCCGAGGACGCGGTCCTCGACGGCGCGGGCTCCGTGCTGTCGCATAACTCGGCCTCCGACGGCGGCGTCCTCGGCGTCACGGCCCAGGCGGTCGTGTCCCTGACCGGCGCGACGCTCGTCGGCAACGTCGCCCGCCGCGGCGGCGACGTCGCCGCGGACGCGGCCGCGACGATCGACCTCGTCGGCGTGACGTCCGTCGGCGCCGGGGCCACGGCCATGGGCGGCAGCCTCCACCTCGAGCCGCGGTCCCGCGTCACGGTCCGAGACGTCGCCGTGGCGCGCGCCGACGCGCCCTACGGCGGCTTCGCCTACCAGGACCTCGACAGCGTGTTGGTCGTCGAGGGGAGCGCCTTCGACGGCTGCTCGTCGGGCGTCGCCGCGGGCGTCTACACCGGCGACCAGGCGCGCCTGACCGTGTCGAACTCGTCCTTCTCCAACGGCGCGGGCGCCTACGCGTCGGCGCTGTATCTCCTGGACGCCGCCGACGTCTCGTTGGACAACGTGGTCATCGCCGGGGGCGCGTCGACGCTCGCGATGACGGGCTCCGCGGCGGTGGTCCTCGACGCGACGGGCGGCGCGTTTCGGAACGTGTCCTTCCGCGACAACGTCGGCGGCGCGCTCAGCGTCGCGGAGGCGGCGATCGCGCTGACGGCGTCGACGTTCCGCAACAACACGATCTCGGGCAGCGGCGCCGCCGTCGCGCTCACGAACCGGGCGACGGTCGCCGCCTTTGAGTGCGTCTTCGCGTCGAACTACGCTTCCGAAGACGGCGGCGCGGTCTACGCGACCTTTTCCTCGGAATTCACCTCGAACGGGTCCATTTTCGTCGGCAACGTCGCCGGCCGCCGCGGCGGCGCCATGCGCCTCGACGGCGGCGCGACGGTCGCGCTCGCGCCCTCGGACGTCGTCGCGGGCAACTCGGCCCCGAACGGCGGCGGCGGCGCGGCCTACTTCGACATCTCCAACGCCTACGCCGCGCTCAACCGCACGGACGGGCCGACGCGCGCGGCGTTCGAGAACAACAGCGCGCTCTACGGCGGCCGCTTCGCGACGGGCATCGCGGCGATCCTCGCGGAGCACGCGGGCGACGAGGCCGCGGGCGAAGATTTGAAGCACGCCATCGTCGTCTCGGCCGTCGACGCCTTCGGCAACGTCGTCAAAGACACGGCGACGGTGCTCTCCGCGGAGCTCACCGCGGGCAGCTCCCTCTCCGGGACCGTGAAGATGGGTTTTGTGGATGGCGTCGCGACCTGGGAGGCCGGCGAGCCGCTCCAGCTCTACGGTCACCCCGGCGGATCGCTCGAGGTCGTCGCGTCGCTCGAGTCGACGTGGGTCGCCTACGCCGGCGCGGCGTTCGACGAGGACCGCGCGCAGCCCTACACGGCGAACCTCACGTTCACGTTTCGCCAGTGCGTGCCCGGCGAATTTTTAATCGGCGACGAAACCGGCGGCGAGTGCATCCTCTGCGGCGTCGGCGACTCCCAGCGTCCTGTGGCCGTGACAACTTTCGAGAGATTTCGGGTGGGAAACCAATGAGAAATCGTCACCGTTATGTTTGGTAGGCGACTACTGGTACTCGGCGCGCGGCTCCGCGTGGAGCGCCGACGCCGCCTGCAAGCGCTGCGCGGCGGGCTTCGTCTGCGAGGACTTTGGACAGACGTTGGACGCCGTCGTCACCAAGGGCGGCCGCTACCGCGCGTCGCCCCGGGCCGAGAAGACCTACGAGTGCCCCGGCGCGCGGCGCGCGTGCCCCCGGGGCAACGCGACGGGCGCCGCGTCGTGCGCGTCGGGCTACGCGGGCGCGCGCTGCGGGTCCTGCGACCGCGACCACTACCGGGCGATGACGCGCGACGGCGGCATGACCTGCGAGAAGTGCCGCTCGGGGAACAACGGCGTCATCGTCGCGGTCTACGCGGTCGTCGCGGTCCTGGCGCTCGGCGCGCTCGTGGCCGTCGTCTTCTCCACGACGGGCTCGTCCCTGTTCCTCGCCGTCGCGGACACGGCGGGCGGCGCGGCGGAAGAAGTCGTCGGCTGGGCGTCCAACGCCGCGCTGCAGAAGCGCGACTCGAAGCGGTTCGCGCTCGACGACGCGGCGACGACGTCGTCGCTGAGCGTTTATGTGACCAAGGTCAAGGTCGTGCTGAACTTCGTGCAGATCGTCTCCGCGGTGCCCATGGTCTTCGGCCCCGCGCTCGAGCTGCCGGGGTCCTTCGCGGCGCTCGTGCGGCTCACGGGCCTCGTGTCCGGCATCGACGTCGCGTCGCTGCTGCCGACGCGGTGCCTCTTCTCGGGCCAATCCATCGCGACCTTCTACGCCGAGAGCCTCGCGACGACGCTGCTCGTGCCCATCGTCTTCGCTTTGATCGTCAACGCGCTCTTCTGGGGGCACCGCGTCGTCGGACGGCAGACGCCGAAGGAGGTCGTCGAGCGGCGGCGCATCGTCACCCAGGTCTGCCTGCTCTTCATCCACCTGACGCTGCCCATCTGCGCCTACGCGGCCGTGTCCGCGCTCGTGTCCGAGGAGATCGACTACGGCGACGGCGAGACGCGGCGCTTCCTGCGCGTCGAGCCGGCCGTCGCGACGGCGTCGTCCCAGTACAGGAGCGTCACCCGCGTCTGGGCCATCCTGGGCATCTTCATCTATCCGCTCGGCGTGCCCGCGCTCTACTACACGCTGCTCAAGCGGTTCGAACGGGTGCTCCACCCGACGCACGCGGTCGCGGCGGACGTCGCGGGCGCGACGAAGCGGCGCACGGAGCACGCGATGCTGAGCCTCGACTACCAGCTCCGGCTCGTGCAGCGGCGGAATAAGTCGCTCGAGCACGACGCGGCGAACATCGTCCAGTCCTTCCAGTTCCTCTGGATCGACTACGAGCCGCGGTGGTACCTCTGGGAGATCTTCGAGGTGCTGCGGCGCCTCTTCTTCACGACGCTGCTGGCGATCATCGCGCCGGACTCGAAGCTCCAGGCCTTCCTCGCGCTCGCCGTGTCCGTGCTCTTCACGGCGGGCTACATCCACGCGCAGCCCTTCATGGAGGACGACGACGACCTCCTCGCGGAGGTGAGCGGCTGGTCCGTGACGATACTGTTGTTCACGACGGTCATGCTCCGCAACGGCGTCCTCCTCGGCTGGATCGCCGTGGTCCTCCTCTTCGCGGCGGCGCTCCTGCCCATCGCGGCGTTCTTCTACGTCATCCACCGGGTCTTCAACGGCAAGTACGACGAGGCCATCGACGACGCCGAGGCGGCGTGCGTCGACGGGCGCCGCGGCATCTCGGGCAGCGCGGGCGGCGAGGCGTACCGCCCGTTCCCGCGCCAGGCGCCGGCGGAGGACGCCGGCGCCGACGACGGGACCTACAGCGACGTGGAGCTCCTCGACGGCCACGGGCCCGACGAGCCCAACAAGGACTGCTCCTCGGCCCCGACGGAGCTCCTCGAGATGATCACCTGCTCGGCGAACCTCGAGGAGAAGCGGGGCGGCGAGCCCGAGGAGGGCTGCGACGTGGGCCGCTCCTCGTAAGTTCATGCTGCCGCCTTGAACGTCAATGAAGGCCTTGCGACCGTTGCGCTGCAATAATTGCAATGGGCAGCCTTCAAACGTCGTGAACACCAAGCGGCCATGGGCATGGGCGGCGCGCGCGTGCGGCCCGAGGACTTTGAGGACATCGAGAACAAAGGCGCGGACACGCCGTTCTGCAACATCGGCGGCTGCGCGTTGGGCACCCAGGGCCTCTTCGCGCTGCGGACCAAGGACCCCAAGTCGGACATCTGCGGCTGCTTCCCAAGATGTTTCTGCTACCTGCTGTCCTGCGTGGCGAACGTCTTCCTCGCGCCGTTCATGCTCGTCATCAACTGGTTCCGCATCTACGTGTTCCCGTGCATGTTCGCGACGCTCCACCTGCTCCTCGCCAAGTTTTGCTGCGACGTGCTGGGCTGCGGCGCCTGCTTCCCCAAGTACCGCGACCCCTGGTTCCCGGCGACGGACGCGTCGGTGGGCTACAACCTGCTGCAGGGGCGCACGAAGCCCTGCTGCGACTTCTTTCTGTGCTGCTGCGCGAAGGTGCTCTGCGTCTGCCACAACCCCTGCGGCGACACGACCGTGCCCTGGAAGCGCGCGCCGGACATCGTGCCCAAGGGTCGCGGCGTCGGCCGCGCGAAGCTCTTCGACAAGATTGAAGCGGATGATGTGAAGCAGGGCGGTCTGGGCGACTGCTGGCTCCTGTCGGCGATCGCGTCGTGCGCGGAGGCGCACCCGGAGATCATCCGGCGCCTCTTCATCACCCAGTTCGTCGAGCCCTGCGGCGTGTATCGGATCCGCTTGTACGACGTGCGCAAGGAGAAGTGGGTGGTCATCGTCATCGACGACCGCATCCCGATGGACGACGCGAACGCCCGACCTCGCTTCACGAAGCCCAACGGCAACGAGCTCTGGGTCATGCTCCTCGAGAAGGCCTTCGCGAAGATGTGGGGGTCCTACGGCTACCTCAAGGGCAACGACGGCTGCCTGGCGCTCCAGTCCTTCACGGGCAACCACGGCGTCGACATGTTCCCCAAACAGTACGTCGCCGCGACGTCGCTCTCCGCCTTCTTCGACGTCGTCCACGGCGCCCTCGCCCACGGCTACCTGCCCGCCGTCAAGCCGCCGTCGCTCTTGGTCGGCGCGGGCTGCCGGCGGGCGAAGCTCGGCCTCGTGAGCGGCCACGCGTACTCCGTCCTCGACGCGGCGTCGCTCGTCTCCGGCGCGAAGCTCCTGCAGCTGCGCAACCCCTGGGGCGACGGCGAGTGGATGGGCCCCTACAGCGACCACGACGCGTCGACGGCCCGCTGGATGGAGACCGCGGGCATGTCGCTCCTCGGGCGGAAGATCGCCAAGGAGGACGGCAAGTTCTGGATGCCCGTCAAAGACTTCGCGGAGTGCTTCGGCGACTGCTACTTCGTCGGCACGAACCGCTACGTCGCGAACACGACCATGGACTTCCACGAGGAGTTCGGGGCCTGCGGCCCCTGCCGGGGCTGCGTCGGCGGCACCGTCGACTACTGGTGCTGCCTCCAGGGCCCGCGGCTCACGTGCGCGCCCGAGCGCCGCGGCACGTTGACCATGATGCGCGACGCGGGGCTCCAGCTCGACAAGGCGGGCTGGAGCGTGTCCCGCTACCACGAGGCCGGGGGCTTCGCCGGCGGCACCTGGAACCGCGTCGGCTGGGCCGACAACATCCTCGCGCCCCGGAAGGACGACGACGACGGCGACGAGGGCGGGTCGCCGCCCGCGCCGGACGAGGACGCCGTCATCGAGCTGGCGCCCCCCTAATCAGATAGGTTCGGTCATGTGCGCGCCTTCGTCGGGGAGGTACGTGGGCCCCTTGACCTCGACGGCGGGCGCGTCCGCGTCCGCGGCGTCGGCAACACGGCGCCTGTGCGCGACCGCGGCGACGCCCGCGACGACGGCGACGATGATGGCGACGACGATGGCGACGACGACGATCGACGACGAGGCCGTCGCCGCGTCGCCGCAGCAGGTCGACGCCACGGCGGCCGGCGCGGCCGACGGCGCCGCGGACAGGCCGCCGCGCGTCGGGGCCCGCGTCGGCGCGGCCGTCGTCCGGGGGGTCGGCGCGGGGCTCGGCCGCGGCGACGGCCGCGGCGACGGCGACGCGGAGGGCGCGCGCGTCGGCGCGGGCGACGGCGCGGGCGACGGCGCGGCGGTCGGCGGCGCCGTCGGCGCCGGTGTCGACGACACCTCGAACTCGGCCTCGTCGGCGGTCTCGCGCGAGCAGGCGGACACCGTGAGGAGGTACGTGCCCACGGCGGCGCCCCCGGGGATGGTGCCGACCGCGCGGCCGTCGTTGGTCGTCTCGAAGCTCCCGAGCGCGCGCGAGTCCTCGCGGCGCGCCGTCGAGACCCGTACCCGGTCGCACGGCGGCCCTCGATAGGACCAGTCGACGGCGCAGGGCACCTCGGCGACGCAGACGCCGAGGACGCCGACGGACTCGATGCGCAGGAAGGGCGCCGTCGGCGCCGACGTGGGGCCGGGCGACGGCGCGGCCGTCGTCGGCGCCGGCGACGTCGGCGCGGCCGTCGTCGGGCGCCGCGTCGGCGCGGCCGACGGCGGCGCGGAGCAGCCGCAGCTCTCGCGGCAGGCCTCGTGCGCGAGGCGCTCGTCGGCGCCGACGACGAGGCACCGCGCCGACGGGAAGCCGCCGACCCACGCGCAGTTCTTCCACGGCTGCGACGTTTTGTGCCACGCGGCGTCGTCGCGGCAGGCGGACGACGGCGGAGACGTCGGGGCCGTCGACGTCGGGGCGGGCGCCGGCGCCGCGGACGGCGCGGGCGACGGCGCGGCCGTCGACGGCGCGGCCGTCGACGGCGCCGCGGAGGGCGCGGGCGCGGGCGCCGCGGAGGGCGACGGCGCGGGCGCGGCCGACGGGCGGGCCGTCGACGGCGCCGGGGACGCCGTCGGCGCCGGCGTCGGCGCGGCGCGGATGCCGGCGTCCGAGGCGCAGAACGTGTAGGGCCCCGCGCCGTGAAACGTCGCCGCGTCGCCCGCGCTCGGCACGGAGACGCGGAAAAACAGGTCGTCGCTCGGCGCGTCGCCGAAGTCCACCGCGAGGGTCGCGCAGAGCTCCTCCTCGCGGCAGTAGAAGCGGACGAGGTCCGCGCCGTCGCCGCCGAAGGTCTGGAGCACGGCGCCGCCCGTGCCCTGGCCCTGGTATAACGACGCGACGACGCCCGTCCACGCGGCCTCGTCGGGGCCGAGGTCGACGCGGTAGAGCGTCTCCCGGCCGACGCAGGCGGGCGTCGGCGCGGACGACGGCGCGGCCGACGTCGGCGGCGACGACGGCGCGTACGACGGCGTCGCGGACGAGGGCTCGGGGCTGGGCGGGGTCGACGGCCGGTAGGACGGGCTCGCCGACGACGGCTCGGCGCTGGGCGGGAGCGACGGCTCCCCGGACGGGAAGGGGCTCGGCGCGTAGGACGGGCTCGCCGACGAGGGCCGCGGGGTTGGTGTTGTCGTGGGCTGCGGCGTCGGCGTCGGCGTCGCGAGGGGCCGCGGCGTCGGCCGCGGCGTCGGGCGGCGCGTCGGCCGTGGCGCGGGGACGACCGTCGGGCTCGACGACGGCGGCAGCCAGAACAGGACGACGTCCGTCGGAGAGAGCGTGGGGAGCGGCGCCGGAAGCGACGTCGGCGCGGCGGTCGGCTCCGGCGTCGGCGCGCGCGTCGTAGGTCCGAGCGTGGGCGCGAGCGTCGGGCTCGGAGAGGGATGGGCGGTCGTCGGGCGCGGCGTCGGGTTTGGAGATGGGCTCGCGGTCGTCGGGCGCGGCGTCGGGTTCGGAGAGGGACTCGCGGTCGTCGGGCGCGGCGTCGGGTCTGGAGAGGGGCCGGCGGACGGCGCCGCGGTCGGGGCGGGCGTCGCGAGGTCGCTCTCGTACCACTGACTGCGATAATAAAAGCCAGAGAGGACGTCGACGTCGCCGTCTTCGTCGACGTCGATCGCGAAGACGGACATGGCGCCGTCCGCCAGCGTCGTGATGACGCGCTCCGCGAACGACTCGGACCCGTCGTTCTCGTGCCAGGCGACCGCGTCCCCAAAGTAGGACGCCGACAGCGCGTCGACGTCGCCGTCGCCGTCGACGTCGATCGCGAAGACGGACGTCGCACCGTCCGCGAGCGTCGTCATGATGCGCTCGGCGAACGACTCGGCCCCGTCGTTTTCGTACCACGCGACGGCGCGGATATTACGTCCGCCGACGGACGCGGACATTACGTCGACGTCGCCGTCGTCGTCGACGTCGATCGCGAAGACGCTGGCGGCCTGGTCCGCCAGAGTGGAGATGGTCACGATCGAAAACGTCTGCGAACCCTTGACGTCCTGGGTCTGATACCACGCGACCGTGTCGTCGAGCGAGGACGTCGACAGGACGTCGGCGGAGCCGTCGCCGTCGACGTCGATCGAAAAGACGGCGTTGGCGCCCTCCGCGTTTCCCGTGATGTAGCGAAAGAGCGTGATATCCGAGCCGTCGTTCTTGCACGCGGCGACGGTGTCGTCGCCGCTCGATGCGTAGAGGACGTCGACGTCGCCGTCGCCGTCGAGGTCGATGGGGTAGGCGGACATGGCACCGTCCGCCAGCGTCGTGACGACGTGCTCGACGAACGATTCGAGCCCGTCGTTCTCGTACCACGCGACCGTGTCGTCTGTGAAGGACGCCGAGAGGACGTCGACGTCGCCGTCGCCGTCGACGTCGATCGCGTGCACGGACCACGCACCGCCCGAGGAGTACGTGAGGTCGTGCCCGGCGAAGGACTCGGACCCGTCGTTCTCGTACCACGCGATGGTGTCCTGGAGATAGGACGCCGAGAGGACGTCGACGTCGCCGTCGCCGTCCACGTCGATGGCGAAGACACCGCCCGACCCGACCGCGTCGTCGATGTCGCGCGCGGCGAAGTTGACCGCGGTCGCGAGGTCGAATGTTGTATATAAGACGAAGAGCGGCGCATAGCCCTGCTTGATGTCGAGAAGCCCGGGCTGCCCATCATGAGCCAGTGCTTGTGTCGTGCTAGGCTAGGAGAGGTTAACACGGCGCATAGCCCTGCTTGATGTCGAGAAGCCCGGCTCTGCCCGGGCTTGCCCATCATGAGCGTGTGCTCGTACCGTTCAACATGTCAAAGGTGCTGCGAGAGCATGGTTATGGTTCTCGACGTGCATGAGTGCTCCAAAACCGTGAACGCGCTGGTTGTTATCTCGCGCGACAAAATAAACGACTGGTAGCAAGCAGTGCGACAAGCGTACGACTGGTGCGAGCGGGCACGA